TGGGTGAAAACTGGAAGCATTCCTTTTGAAAACCAGCACAAGACAAGGATGCCCTCTCTCACCACTCCTATTTAATACAGTATTGGAGGATCCAGCTAGGGCCATCAGGTAAGAGAAAAAACTAAAAGGTGTTCAAATAGGAAGAGAGGAAGTCAAATTATCTGTTTGCTGATGGCATGATTATATATTTAGAAAACCCTATCATCTCAGCCTAAAATCTCCTTAAGCTAATAAGCAACTTCAGCAAAGTCTAAGGATACAAAGTCAATGGCAAAACCCACAAGCATTCCTATACACCAATAATAGACTAACGGAAAGCCAAACCATGAGTGAATTCCCATTCACAATTCCTACAAAGATAATAAAATACCTAGGAATAAAATTTGCAAGGGATGTGAAGGACCTCTTCAAGGAGAATTACAAACCACTGCTCAGGGAAATAAGAGAGGACACAAACAAATGGAAAAACATTTCATGCTCATGGATAGGAAGAATCAATATCATGAAAACGGCCATACTGCACAAAGTAATTTATAGATTCAATACTATCCCCATCAAGCTACCATTGACTTTCCTCAAGAATTAGAAAAAAAACTACTTTAAATTTCATATGGAACCAAAGAAGAGCTCATATACCCAAGACAATCCTAAGCAAAAAGAACAAAGATGGAGGCATCATGCTACCTGACTTCAAACTATACTACAAGCCTACAATAACCAAAGCAGCATGATACTGGTACCAAAACAAGTATATAGACCAATGGAACAGAACCAAGGCCTCAGAAATACTACCACACATCTACAACCATCTGACCTTTAACAAACCTGACAAAAACAAGCAATGGGGAAAGGACTCCCTATTTAATAATTGGTATTGGGAAAACTGGCTAGCCATATGCAGAAAACTGAAACTGGACCCCTTCCTCACACCTTATGCAAAAATTAACTCGAGATGGATAAAGACTTAAACATAAAACCTAAAACCATAAAAACCTTAGAAGAAAACCCAGGCAATACCATTCATGACATAGGCATGGGCAAAGACTCTATGACTAAAACACCAAAAACAATTGCAACAAAAGCCAAAATTGATAAATGGGATCGAATTAAACGAAACAGCTTCTGCACAGCGAAAGAAACTATCATCAGAGTGAACAGGCAGTCTACAGAGTGGGAGAAAATTTTTGCAGTCTATCCATCTGACAAAGAACTAATATCCAGAATCTACAAGGATCTTACAAAAATTTACAAGAAAAAAACAACCCCATCAAAAAGTGGGTGATGGATATGAACAGGCTCTTCTCAAAAGAAGACATTAATGTGGCCAAGAAACATCTGAAAAAAGCTCATCACCACACACTGGGGCCTGTCAGGGGGCAGGGGTCTAGGGGAGAGAGAGCATTAGGAGAAATACCTAATGTTGATGACGGATGACGGGTTGATGGGTGCACCAAACCACCATGGCACACGTATACTTATATAACAAACCTGCATATTCTGCACATGTATCCCTGTAATCTCAGCACTTTGGGAGGCTGAGGCAGGTGGGATGAAGTCAGGAGTTTGAGATCAGTGTGGCTAAGATGGTGAAATCCCGTCTCTACTAAAAATACAAAAATTAGCTGGGCACAGTGGCACGTACCTGTAATCCCATCTACTCAGGGGGCTGAGGCAGGAGAATCACTTGAACCTGGGAGGTGGAGGTTGCAGCAAACTGAGATCACACCCTTGCACTCCAGCCTGGGCTACAGAGTGAGACTCTGTCTCTAAAAAAAAAATTTTTTTTAAGTTTGTCACCACAGCTGGTGCTGGGACACTAGGGTGCATGTAATTAGTGGTGTGGCTGAAGCTAATGCATTCACGAATCCTGATCTGCAGGTGTGTGAGTGTCTGTCGTTAATACTCCTAGTCTGACCCAGGGCAGTGCTACCCAGCTCATTGGTTTTACAATCAGACAAGCCTCCAATCCTGTGTCTGGCTCTCACCAGCTTGTGTCCTAATGTGTCAATAATTCCACTGATCTGAGCCTCACTTTCCTGTAATTTACTGCAGTGAGTTCCTAGGTATATAGGACCTAAGTGGTCAGCAGATCACCTTAGAAGGATTTCAGGACTCTGAGTCTCAGTCCATCTGTGAAAAAGTTGGAACCTTTCTTAGACAAACCTTTAAAATTAGTTATATGTATCACATTCACAGCTCCTAGTTTTGAAGACGAGCAACAGAACAATACTTTCAAGTCTCCATATAACCTTCATTAGTTTAGGACGGGCTTCATAGTTTCAGCAAGAGAATTCAAAGTTCATTTTCATTTTCTCCCTCAGCAACTGAAGTTCTGAGTTTCATAATCTATTTTGTATTGATATATAATATTTTACATATTTTCAGGTACTGAGTTATAATCTATTTTAAATGATGCATTATTGTAAAATCACCGTTTTCTTAAATAAATACACATAGTGAATGGCCCTACATGTATCCTCACAAGCACAGCTTGAACAAGTCCATCTTCCAGGGGCCAGGCACCACCTCAGGCATCTATAGCATCAGCAAAACCCAAGGTCCTAGCTGGGCTCTGGAGATGCTGTTTACCCTGGAGGCAGGACAGCAGGAAGTGGAAGGAGCAGGCTGATCCAATCCAATCCCTTTCTTGTAGTTTTCTGGGTTGGGGAGAGAGAGTTCTGCAATAGAAACAGGAAATGCAGAAAGACAGAGATATGATGATACAAATCACCAGTTGTGCCACCCAGATCCTTGTTTCCCTATACTGCTCCGTGCATTGTTCCTGAGCATATGAGCATGCCCACACTTGACGGAGGTACTCTCAAGTCCACTGGAGCCTGGGCCACCCCACTGTTTTTAAAGTCCTGGAATGCTTTCCTAAAGATAAGAAAATACCAAAACAGGACTACAAAAATTATGGTATCTATTGATGTGTATTCACAAATATGTAATAAAGATGTGTATGTGGGTGTGTACCTCATCTGGGGATGACACCTCAAGTTTAATTTTGAAGCTTAGACCAGTCTTGTCCTTTCCCACAACCACCATGGTAGGTCCTCTGTGAGATGTTATCATAGAACTCGTGTTTCTCAGTAGCAGTAGAATACGACATCTCTGTCAACAAATATAACTCTACATTACTTTAATTGCTTGCATGGAAGTCCGTCATATGTAAGTGCCGTGGAGCATTTAACAGGCCTTCTTCTAGGACATCTATTTCTGGTTTCTTTGATAGAACAGCACTCTTGTGAATATCATTGTCTTGCTTCTTTGCATGTTTTCCTTCTTCCTTGGGATGAATTCTGAGAGATGTAATTGATAGGGCAAAATGTACTGACACATTTTTAAGGTTTTAAACTTTTCTGTCAAAAGCTGTTGCTCTTGGCCGTTTGAAAAGGAAAGCAAATCCTTCCATTCCAGGGTTGAATTTCAACTCTTTTCCTGCAAACCTCATTGCTTTTTGGTTTAATTGTCATAAAATGCCAAGCACCACCAACAGGGCTATGTGAAGGTGCTCAGAGGCAGAAGGGCGTGGTTAGGCATGGCCTTGGCTAGATGGGGAAGCTGGGTGCTCGGGATCAGGGTAAGTGGGTGGGAATGTTGTGAGGACAGAGGCTGGACAGGGAAGCCCTGCAGGGCAGAGGCAGTGGCACGGCTGCAGTGCACGTGGCCATCTGTCTGGAGCAGAAGATGGAAACCAAGGAGTGGGTTGACACTTGGATGCGAGGCTTGAGTCAGGTAAATCCTGCCCTCGTTGTACTGTATAAAGGGAGCTTCTCCAGGCTTCCAGGATTCTCAGACCCTCCCAGTCCCTGTGGGGGGTCCAAGAGGCAGTTAATCGTGCCTCAGGCCCTCTGCTCTCCCTCCCTCTGTAAGACTCACTCTACTTTGCAGTGAGCTCTAGTGAAACCTCTATTCCTGCAGGACCTAATGGATGAGGACTCCAGAAAAGAAATCTGCTGAACACGAAGGGTCTGTCACACGAACTTGAGTCCCTTTCTCAGGTGTCCCACCCTTGCAGGCCAGCCTCCCAATTCCCAGCCAGCTCCACACTCCAGGCTTTTGCCCATTCAAAACCAAAATTGAAGGCATCTGTTCTACTCAGGCCCCCATCTCTGTTCAGAGTAATCTCCTCCCTCCCTCTGCTTTTGCCCTAAGTTCTCTTTTCAACTCACCTAACATCTAACTTGGCCCTGCAGCTGTGATCTTCAAAACCCTCTCTACCTGTTCCCTCCCAATCTATCCCTGACCAGCATGCCAGGAACAAGGAAGTCTCCTTGAAAGCTGCACTCCTTGCTGCTCTCCCCTGTCCTTCATCCTTCCACTTGACATCTCTGTCCATCTACCCATCTCTAGCTGCTGAAATCCCATTTATGTTTCCAGGTGCATCTCATACTCTGTCATCTTTAAGAAGTCTTCCCAGAAGCCCCACTGGATATTTTCATGATATATACTGTATTCACTGTCTAATGGAGATTGCACCAGAGGGTATTTAATTCCCTGAAGGCAAGGACTATAACCTATTCATCTTCCTTTCCTGGGTGGGGAGAACCACCATGCCTTGTACCAAGTATCGATGACATGGGTCCTGCCTCCATGAATGAATGGGCATTGGGAGAAAAGGAGCTGATGATGTGTGAATGGAGAAACCTAGTGAGGCAAAGTTTAATCCTCAGTGAAGCAGTGTTGGTGGCTCCAATAGCTCTCTTTAGGAAGACTTAAGACAGCATCCCAATCGGAAGGGGCTTGAAGCACTTTATAAAAGAGAGAGGCAAGAACATACGTCAAACTAGAAGAATGGAAGTGAGAGGAGAGAGGGCTGCAGAAAGGAGCAAGCCCTTCCGTCTCCTTGACCATCCTGCCAGTGCATGGGTTACCTCTCATTGCATTTAATACGATGGGTTGTTTTTGTATTGTGGGATATTTTCCTTAATTAAATGACATTGTGCTCTTTTTGAAAGAGAAAGTATTCAAGCAAGTGTCACTTCTATTTCTTGCAGGCAACTATGGTCCTGAGCTCCGCACACTTCTGGTTGGGATTATTTCTGGTTCCTACTGCCTGTTTGATCGAAGATGTGGCATGGAGAGCGTAAGTTTAAAAGTGAAGGGGGGACCCCCAAGTCTGACTTATCTGTCCCTGGAATTGTCTTTCCCATAAGCCCTGCCACAGGGTATGAGAATAAAAGGAATTTGGAAGAAATGGGTCTCCCGCCACCTGCCAGAGAAAGATATCTTTTAAAAAAAATTTTTAATTTAACTTGTGCTTCATCTTGATATCAAAATATAGACAACCATAAAAATAGAAAAATTAGCTGGCCATGGCGGCACATGCCTCTAGTCTCAGCTACTTAGGAGGCCAAGATGGGAAGATCACTCGAGCCCAAGAATTTGAGGCTGCAGTGAGCTATGGTCATGCCACTATACTCCAGCTTGGGCAACAGAGCAAGACCCTGTCTCTAAATAAAAATAAACAAACAGAAAAGAAAAACTGCAGACACAAAGGAACCCTGAGAGAAACTGTGAAGATCAATAGGGCCATTGCCTTATAAGGCAGAATTTCTAAGTACACACCCATTCCATCAGTTGAGAAAGTGTGACTCAAACTCATCTCTCTATATTGTAAACTCAGTGCTCAGTGATCACACATATGGCCTGGCTTCACTTCCCATGCTTAGAGGAAAGCTACGTGTAGGTAAGTCATTTCAAATTACCAGAATGAAGTATTCTTCATTTTTCCAACCAACTTTCAGTAAAATTCTTTCAAAGTGTTAGTTCACAGGTCTATGAGAAAACCAGTCACCAAAATGACATTAGCCCATACGTTAAATAGAAAATCATTCATATTCAATTTTTACATTTATGTTTTAAAATATGTCATTTTCAAGATATCATGTTACAACGTAAAAAGCAACTAAGTTCAGGGTCACGTAAATTTTAATTTTATCCATGAGCAAAAGGAGGGGCTGCTCCAAACAAAATATGACTGATTTTTGTTTTGGGGGGGCCAAATTCTCCTACAAATAGGTGCCAACTTCTTTGAAAATTGAGACTCTGTGCTCAGCTTTACTTTGGGCAAAACACAATTACTTTGGGACCCTGAGATAGAGAAGTGAGAGTTTAATCCAAACCTTCCAGAAAAAGACATCAGATTTCATTTTTATCTCTCCGTTCCTCTCACTCTCAGTGAGAATTTTTCTTGCCTGACAGTTAAGGATTATTTTTAAAAAGTCTTCATTTTGGCATTATCTTGACAACCAATGATACCTCATGCAGATCTAGATAGAGGGGGAAAGAATATTATAACATGGACTTTTGTGGGTTTTTTTTCCTATTCACTAAGTTTTTTAACTGTTAGAAAAAATAAATAATTCTAATTTTTTAAATTCTTTGATTTACCCTTACTTCCATTTTATTTAGTAAAACCATGTTCTGTAAATAGCAGAATCAGAATCCTCAGAAGTGAAAAGATTATAGCCAGAAAAGATATTTTCTTAATCTAATAGATTTATCATAAGAAAATATTCATTCTCTTATTTCCTCTTTCAGCCAATAGGCCCAATTGTGACACAATCTATCCCCGTGCTGAATTTGTTCAAAATTTTGTTTTGCAAAAATAAGTTTGTTTTAGGTAAATATAGGATAGTCTTGGCCACATCAGCTGGCTTTTTCTATTTCTAGTCATTGAAAACTAGTAACATGATTATAAATTAGTTTATTTAAATTCAGCTATCTCAAATTAGAGTCATGAAAAAAATTCTACTGAGACTGTGTATTTGCAGACTTGAGCAATAGTCTCTTTCTTCCATCTGAAAGAGAATGTTTATAGATTTCAAAATGTCTGTGCCTCTTTGTCCGTTTTCTGGCTCTTTTCCAGTGCGTTCTAAGTAATCATTCCCTGTCACCACAAAGCAAATTGTCTATTCCCTCTAACAGGACTTGTTTTTGGTTTCCCCGGCGCTATAAAATTAGCACCATTTACATTTTAACAAGGATAAATCAAATGACACTACTCCCAGCTTCACCATATGGAAAGAGTAAAATCACTTCCTTTCCAAGGAGCTTGCCAACCGGGTCAGAGCACATACTCTGCTGTGGAGGTGCTGGCGGGGCAAGCTCGTGAGGCTGAGGGTCACCCCTCTGCAGCAGGAGCACTCTGCCGCCCAGCACCTGGCACCACAGGCCCAGAACTCAGCATTTCCCAGAAACCAACAGCATTTCTGGGTTAAGCCAAGAAAGGTCCCTACTGAATCCCAAAGGCGCTTTCCAAAATGTATTTTTGTCTTGTTTTATTTGGGGGAGCAGGGAAAATAGCATATATTGGTTGTCACCTGGAATATTTGCCCAAAGCACATATATGCTCAATTTGTAATATTTATTTAATATCTAAACTACCCTCACCCCTCTCCTCAAAAACAAGAAATTTTTCAGTTTACTGGTGCATTTTCCCTCTGATCTTGAGGCCCATATTATGTCTCATATTATACTCTGAGCCCAAAATGTTTGTTTTTGAGGCAAGTCAATTCAGAGGCTTCTTACAAAAAGAGGAGGCATATTGTGAATCGCTTACCTCTGAGAAAGCTACAGTGTTTCACTGAGATTTCTCTTTCTAAATTATAGCTTTAGAAAACACTGTTAGCTTCTTCTTCCCATGCACTGAACAAAAAAATACTAATCTTGCTTGTCCCCAAAAACCATCATTGGATTTGAATTGGGGTTCCCAGAAGTGGTGAGCATTCATGAGTGGGCACAGGGGCAGCTGAAGACCCTGCCCTGTGATGGTAGCACATGGTGTTGCCTAGGGAGCTTCCACCGTGGTGCTGCGGGGCTCTCATCTTGCCTTGGGCCCATCTTAAGAATGTCTTGTTTTATTCTGAACTTTGGTGGTTATCACCCTCTTTTGAAAGGGCTTTTAGGCCAGGTGCAGTGGCTCAGGCCTGTAATCCCAACACTTTGGGAGAGAGAGGCAGGCAGATCACCTGAGGTCAGGAGTTTGAGACCAGCCCAGCCAACATGATGAAACCCCTCTCTACAAAAATACAAAAATTACCCGGTATGGTGCCTATAGTCCCAGCTACTCAGGAGGCTGAGGCAGGAGAATGGCATGAACCCGGAAGGTGGAGGTTGCAGTGAGCTGAGATCACGCCATTGCACTCCAGCCTGGGTGACAGAGCAGGACTCTGTATCAAAGGAAAAAAAAAAGGCTTTTAAATTCCAGCTTAAGGCAGGCCTGCCTTTCAAGTATATTTCTGTGAGCACTGAAGAAAGTGAGTTGCTCCATCTTTCTACATTTTCCCCATTTTTTTGCCCAGTTTCTCGCTTTCATTTCAGGACCTGAGCTGTTAAGAGTAAGGAAAGAGAACCAGAATGAGGTAATTCAGTCACTTTTTCCATGAAGTCTATTAGCTTTCTGGATGAAGATCCATTATTAGACTATCTTAAGTCAGATTTGGCACGCCATAAAATGCCTGCACTATTATCCTGCTAACCAAAATCTTCATGTGGGACAAAACTAACCTACCTGTTATTAAAATAATTGATTGATTATATGTGATACCTGGTTAACGAGTATTTTTATTAGAAGCACGAAGTTTAAATTGCCCAGAACTATTTTAATGTCCTTTGCTTATATTCATCCAAAGTGTTTACCGATGACAGCATGCTTAGGTAAGCTGCCACATACCGATTCTCATCTAGGTGAAATTTGTTAGTATTGCTTTATAAAAATAATATAAGTTCAAGGCCACTGAACACAGAGGAACCGATTTCCTTTTATCTAGATGTATCTCCTGTATTTTCCCATACATCTACAACAGTGCCCAATTCCAGAATGACTTCATTTCCTTATTATAATCCCAGATAGGCAGTTAAATGGAAGTAAGTGGTAATGAGCAATTTCTATATACAAATGGGCCTTGATTTCTTTTAACTTTCTAACTAATTTCTTTTGCAGCATGTTATATTTACACTTCCATCCACATTTAGAATTAAACGTTTCCTTTGACTTGCTATTCTTGCACACAAAGGAAAAGTTCAAGATCCTAAAACAATCTGTTTCTTTTAAAAGTCTCTGAGAGCCTGGAGACACCTTAGCATATCTGAAGACTCACAGATAGCTCTCACACTCATGAGTCAGTAGCCAGCACCCCCACTCTGTCTCTTCTGTGGTCATCTGGCCTCTCGATGTGGGGTTAGATGAAGCAAGGCCTGGACCACTGGGCAAGAAGCCATTTACAGATAAGGGGCTTATTCTGTCAGTGCTGTGACTCAGAACATGCCAAACCCCAGCTCCTGGTGAGACATAAGTGACAGGCCAGTGGCTAATGCTTAACGACTGACTTTATAACCTATACATATTAATTTTAGACCACTCACATGTAGCCTTTAGAAGAGGAGATTTTAGAATCAGTTTTTTTAATTCAGGCATTATTAGATAAAGGTGCTTGAGAACAGGGTTTTAAATTGCCAGCATCCCTTTACTCAGGTGCTATTAAATACATGCAGAAAGAGAAGTTGAATCATCCCCAGCATTGCAATTCAATGTTTTCCAACAGCAACAAAGTCCCCAGGCTAGCTCACAGGGGCTGGCCTAGTGGAAATAGTATCAAATTGCTGAGTAACTCTGGGATATGGGTGCAGTTTCATCCACCGAGGGCACACACAATGCCTGGGAGCATTGAGATGCTCACACCGTTGCCGTCTGAGGCCGTGTTGTGATTGAGTGAAAACCGTCAGCTTCCACAGTGGGTCGGGTTCTAGCCTAAGCTGTCGGCTCCCAGTGCTCAAGCTTCCTATTCCAGCCTCCCTCTTAGGAACCCCCTTTCCTCCCAGCCCGGGAAATAACAATGGGATCTGTTCTACCCCTGTGCAGGGGAAAGGGAGCGAGGGAGAGAGAGGGAGGATGATGGTGGAGAGAGGGATCCTGTAAGAACCAGCAATGCTCTTCATCTTTCTAGGACTCATGCAGGCCGGTGGCGCAGGGCAGGCAGGACAGGCACTCGGTGGCCTGGTTGTCAGTCTAGCCTCAGAAGCCCAGGAGATAAAAGACCACGTTTGTGGCCCCACATATTATATAATAACGAACAGGGTACATTTTAACATCCTTTCTAGCAAACTGTTAGACGTTTGCTCATTTACTGTTTAAATTAAAATTCCACAGGCTGTGCTTTGAACTGCAGTATTTTATCAATCCTCAGTCTCGGGACACTGTTTGAGGGAATTAAGGTATTATGTGTTAAAGCCTGTGTGGCTTTCCCTTGTTTACTTTGGGGGAAAGGATGACAGGGGCACATACAGTATCTCAGTGCTAATACTCCATTATAGATTAACTCAGAGTGTCGGGAGATGACTCACATTATCTTAACAGGCTTTCTTTCCTTGAAGGTGGAAGGTAGGCGGGGTGGTACAGGATTCTGCAGGAAGGGCCCACATCTTCACAATGTTCCCATGACATTGTTGTCATTTCTGGGCAAAGGTGCTCCGTTTTCATTCTCATTCTATCTTTGGGTCCTGGTACCTAGCAGGATCATCGCGTGTATTTATATTGAAATTAAACCAATGCAAAGCTTTTCAATCTGCTGTGTTGCTAATTTATGAGCCTTTTCTCTTTACAGTTTTTTTCTCTTATGCAACCCATATCTTGTTAAATGTCTTTTTGCCTAGGCTGTTGCCAACTAGTAGCTCAGTTTTAACTTTGTTTAGTTTCCATTTTATAAAGACTCTGAGATCAGCCAATTATTTGAACATTGTGAGGTATTCATCTTAGTTTCATTAGTAAAAGCGTACAGGGAACTCTTCAAGAAGAGTGGGCTGTCCAGGCTACAGGTTATATCATAAGTTGTATTATGCCACTGAGGCCTGGGTGTGTGGACTTCAGTGGTGAGTTGAAGTCCACACACCCAGGCCTCAGTGGCATAATACTGAGGAAGATGGGAAACCTGCACTCGGGATTTCTGTTGACTCCACATTTCAGGCCAAGTGTTTTGCATCCAGACCATGCACTCTAGCATCCTAAGCCCCACAGATGCTATGGCAGTGGCTCTTTTCATACTAAAGAGGGAGGGAGGAAACTTACTAACCCCTGGACTCTCTGACTGTAGTTGAGGTCCTTGGACCAGAGAACCAGTGCCTGTTCACTAAGGTGAGGATTTTAAGAGTCTTCTGGGTTTTCAGATCCTGCCAAGAGATGCTTTAGAGGTGGACCGTGGGTCTTCATGAACCCCACCCAGTCTCTGAGTGACTGGGCCCCTCAGCAGACATTCAGTTCTTTGCAGGGTGGGGTGACTCTTGATGTGCACGGTTGGGGTCTGGACTGCAGCACTCAGGATGCTTCCAGGCTGTGGAGATGGAATCCATGTCATGCACAGAAACTGAATGCTCCACCATTTCCCAAGCCTCGGCCTCCACCAAAGGCCCTTTGGCTGTGGCCTGAGAAGGGAGCGGCCTGTCTTTCCCAGCTGTATCAAGTCCCTGTGCCATGCATTGTTTTTTGTTTTTGTTTTTGTTTTTATCTTTTCCTCATGATACAGAGCCAAGCACACCTGCAAAAAGACATTGCTGGAGGAGGTGCAGGAACTGGAAACCAAGTCTCGAGTCCTGGGAAAAGCGGTGCTGCGGGATAGCAATGGAAAGAGGTGGGGAGCTCCATCCCGGTCCACACAGAACACAGGTTCTCCCATCCCTTGGCCCTTCCTCCCTCCTGTATTTCTTTTTCTCATGGTGGTTTTCAGTGGGAGCACAGTATGCTCAGGTGTAAGCATTTTGGTTATTCTCAGATTTAAATCGCACTCTCAGTGACCACATGAAGTCCAAATCTCTGGAAGTCTCCAGGTAAGACTGGGGGGTTTATTGGGCTTAGAGGTGAGCAAAACAACCCATGTGCAGAAAATCAACATCGTGGCAGTATTATCTTAAGGTGGAAGAGGCCAGAGTTAGCAGCATTGCCACAGAGGAGTTAAAGCCAGGCCTTTGGATTTCAAACCCAAATATTGTACCCAAGGATGAGTGTCACCTGTGAAGGTTTGATGTGAAATAACGCATGCTGTTACTTGTGCAAACCTTGTTACATTCCACTTCAGCATATCCAAATGAGGGAGCGTTTTGAATGTGAACATTTTCAGCTGGGGGTGAGAGGGATCGTGTGAACTCCTGGAGCAGACACGCTGCTTGTTCTCCTAATTCCTCCTGAACAGGAGCCTGCTCTTCACCACATGTAACAGCTGGGCCTGGTCGCAGTTTTTGTTTCATTACAAGATGGTAAAATGTTGTTAGAGTGCACTCTGTTAAAATCTATGTACCATCAAGGGAAATTTCTCTGAGCCTGAGAACAATTTGCAGGGTACTAGAACGCCATTGCTGTATTAAGCACGTTCTGAGTACAACTCTCTTACAAATGCTTAGAAGGCAATCAGTAACTAACTGCTAATGCAACAAGCATCAAGAAGGCAAATGCTGGCAGAGATCTCCACTTTGTATTTTGTTTTATATTGTGTTTATTTGTACCATCTTTTAGAGCAATGCAAACAAAGCAAGTTTTTGTTAAAGAAAGAAAATGCAAACATTTTGAGAGGCTTTCAAAAGACAGTTTCAAAGAGATTTTAGGAAAGGGATGATGGCATATAGTTGAAGTTGTGGTTTTGGATTTATTTATGAGTTATCTTTTAGTAAGTTTATTAAGCATTCATTTTATAGCAGCTATGCTAGTCACTGTAAAAAATCAGCAGTTGGGCCAGGTGCAGTAGCTCACACCTGTAATCCCAGCACTTTGGGGGCTGAGGCAGGCGGATGATGAGGTCAGGAGATCGAGACCATCCTGGCTAACACGGTGAAACCCCATCTGTACTAAAATACAAAAAATTAGCTGGGCATGATGGTACATGCCTATAGTCCCAGCTACTCTGGAGGCTGAGGCAGGAGAATCGCTTGAACCTGGGTGGCAGAGGTTGCAGTGAGCCAAGATCACACCACCACACTCCAGCCTGGGCCACAGAGCAAGACTGTCTCAAAAAAAAAAAAAAATATATATATATATATATATGTCAACAAGACAAAAAGCACTGTCTTCCATAATCTTAAATTTGTGAATACATGGGGATGGGGGCTGATTTTTACCTCAGGTGTACATATAACGGCTATGAGTGGCTGAGGCTTGCACAGGGCTGTTCCATCTGTCAGACAGCTGAGGCACAGGTCTCGGTACCTATTAGTTTCAGGGACCTACCATGCTCTTTGAGACCTGAAGAAAAAAAAAAAAAAAATATATTCATAGGTCCAAAACTTAGGGAGCAGGAAATCCCTACATAATGAAATTAATAAATGTTTAAAACCCCATACAATGCATATCAGTCTTAATAGCTGTTAAGTTTAGTAAGCACAGTAAGTTTATTATACTTAGAAACAACTTACAGGTTCTTATATCTCAAGTATACACAATGATTGCAGAGGGGGAATAAGTAATTTCTAAGTATACACAATGATTGCAGAGGGGGAATAAGTAATTTCTAAGTATAATGAGAATTTCAGAGCAAAATTCTAAAATTCCTTTCAAACATTTTACAGGGAAATATGACATATAATGTGGTATGAGAATGTGCTCCAGCATGTTTGTTCTGATGTGGGGAGGGGTCATCTGGCTGGATTGATCAAGAAAGGCTTCATGTTGGAGGTGGAGGAAACGCAGGCCTTTGAGGATGGGAGGGACTTGACTGGGCAGAACTGCTGAGAGTCTGATTTGGGCAGAGGGAGCGGCTCACATCCAGGCCCAGGTCCAACACTGTGTGTAGGGACCAACCACTCAGTTTGGAGGGCCATGTGCATTTCGCAGAGATATGGAACCTGTGTTTGAAATCAAGCTTTGCCACCTACCAGTGAGGCGTTATGCAGGATATTTCATAGGATGAGATTGTCTCTTCATCTGTCGTAGAAGAAGGCTAATACTTTTTTTGGGGGGTTAGGGTTCGTGAAACATGTACAACACAGCATATTGCCTGACCCATCTTGGGAGCACAAAGTGTCCTTTGCTCATCTGCACTTTGGCTGGAGGACCATGAGCTCTCAATTTTGAATTGTATTGAAAGGAGTCATGGGCTGTCAGCCTTGAAAGAGTATGTGAGCCCATGTTTGCTTGTTGATGATAAAATGAATGTCATTTTAAAAAATTCACTTATCCTGTTCAAAATTCACTTTTAAATGTTCAAATGGATATCAGAAAATAAGAGTTTCAACATGGTTTCCTGCCTTCTACATTGAAAAGTCTATTTTCTGGTCCCTTGTAAATTTCACTTTGTAGTTCATATGATGGGGTGTGTGTGTGTGTGTGTGTGTTTGTGTGCCCACGCGCATGGGCGGGTGTGCGTGCCCCCACTTGGTTGCACCATTTTCCTTTTCTTCTAGTCCCAGCATCTTGCTTCACTTTGGAATTCCTAGCCAGAACATAGTTTTAGGGGCTCATCCTCAGTGCCCCCCTCCCATTTGTTTTTCTCACTCCTAATTGCTCACAGATTTTCTGGGTGGTCCATCTGCAGACTAGATAATGGTGGCGTGCTGCTCTCTGCAGAGACTGTGCTGTCCTGCTTGGCCTCCTGAGCTGCCTCACAATTGTTCTTTTATCACCTTTGTTTTCTTATTTCACACCTGCTTAGATTCCTGAGGGGTGGAGGGTAGAGACTTCTTCAGCTCGGTCCTCCTTTCTAAAGATCTTATAGACCCCCACCTCTGTGAGGGGTCCTGAGTGTTTTTGTCTCTTCTCACCCCTCCCTGTTCCTTCTTTCCTACCCCTATCTGATCTGTTAGCTGATTTGTGTGTCTCTCTAGCTGTTAACCACACAGGAAGCTCTGTCAATATTTGCTGACCGACTGGCTGGCAATACCGAAGTCTAGTGAGGTGGTGGTGAGTAAAGGGTGGTGACTTCAGCGCCGGATGAGCTGACACACTGGTGCCTGGTGTGTCAGCTCGTGCTGTAAGTGGCCACAGACAGATGCCAGCAGTCACCGAGCCTCTTGGAAGGGGGCAGTTTATCTCATTGCTTAAGAGTACAGCTAACATAGGTTCACACATGGAGAGGCATTTGCAGTGTAAGATTAGCAAATCCTATCCTTGCAAAGATGCACAGGCCAGGAGCCTGTCCTCCCTGAAGCCCACTGCCTCTCTTGCCTTCCTGTGCCAGCCAAGCTTGGGCATCCCCGGGGGTCCTCAGCATCCCTGACCCCAGGGGCTTACTCAGTTCAGTCCTGACAGCATTGCCTAGGGCCCCTTAAAGGTGATTCTGCCAGGTCATAAAACCCAGGTCCAAGTCACCGGCAAATATTCTAACAGTTTTTCTCAGGAATGTAATCATAGAAAGTAGAACAAAAAAATCTTTATGCATTAATCTTTTTAGAAAACCCTCTTGTGCCAAAATTTACAATTGCAATTTTGAAATGGTAGCCAGGGAGTCTAAGTTTCTCTCTGTGCCTTTTATTCATTCAATAAAATATTTTCATCTAACATTTTATTGGACTTGTCTAAGCCCCATCCATACTTTTACACTGTTTTGATAAAGTTAAATTTTCATGATCATGCTTCTGCACTTTCTCATTAGTAAATCTTGTCTTCAAAAATCGACCTGTGGAATTGACACTTTAATAAGCCTGTGCTCATTAAGAAGCAGATAACGAGAAAGGGTGAGATCAGGGAATTAGATATCCAGAAAGGAGAGGGAAGAAAATGCTTTAGGGAGTGAATACAAACGTTTGTCTTGATTTTAGTTTGTTCTTGAAGGAGTGCTTTTAACGATGTGGTGTTTATGCACCTTATAGACACTGGACACGTGTGACCGTTTGGGTTGATCAGAATCCCTCTTCCCAAACTGCCTTCCCAGTAATCCCTGCCTGGGGAAGCAGGAGCCCCTGTACCGCACGTGCAATGGCAACCATGCATATCGTTATTTTGTTTGTCTAAAATTGAGGAGCTAAATGGAAGAAAATTCCTTGTTTTTTTTTAATGTCTTGGTAATATCTTTCCCTTCTTTATTCCTAAAGTGTAACTCATGCAAATTTTACTTCCTGGTGAAAGAAAATCTACGTGTGGCCACTCACCTTTATAGATATAGCATAAACCAATGACTCAAATGGCACGGAAGATGACAGACTTTTTTTCCTTAACTTTTTTTGGAATGAGATAAGCGGTTACCCTGTAATATTTTAGGTATAATGGCAAGCAAGAAAAAGAAGGGGGACTATATGTGTTGAAAACATCTAGTTTTTGAGTTTTGTGTAGCCTGAATAAACAAGGAGACTTTGTTCTATTTCTTTTTTTATTTTTTTTTCCTTTCAAACGAGTTGGTTTAATTTCAGGTGATACAAAGTTTAGGGTAGAACGAGGACCAAAGAGCAGACTCTGGCAAGATTCTGAGCTGGTTTGACTTTAAATTTACAGTTACGGTAGGAATGACTGAGTGAAGATAAGCCACTCTAAGACTTTTTTTACAAAAGTTTATTCTTCAATGTACAGCAGCTCTAAGACAACACTTAATTCCAGCTATAGGTGGCAAAAGATGCTATGGCAGGGAATACAATGTTTAAATACAGATAAAATAAAGGCTCACCATCTCCTCAGGGACAAGGAACAGCCTACTTTTTGCCAGATTTCTTAATT